CAGGAAGAGATAAAGAAACAGAATGCAATTAGCCTAGCAAGAAGAGCCTCAAATTGCTCTTCTTAGGATTTCTCACCTCGGCTTGCTATTGTTCGTGCTATCCATCTCCATACAGATCTGTGGTCCTTTCGCCCTCCAGCAAAGAGAGAAAAAGAAGGTTTGCATTAATCAAATGCTATACGCAGAGCAACACTAAGCTCCGACTGGCACTCAGGGCCAGATTTTAAATGTATGTATGCAGGTATATCCCCCTGTTTTGTGCATATAAACTGCTCAAAGCCCAGTGTTAATCAGGGGCGATCAGTTGTTGCTTTTCTTGTACTTTACATGCAAGGCTGAGTGGGTTTCTAGGAAGTTCATTTTAAATTTAGATGTGAGTCCTTGCTTTACAGCAGCAATTATTTGTTTTTTTTTCTTGCTGCAGTCATCAACTTCTTTATGAGAAGTTAATAAAATGATCAATAAATAATTCACATGGGTGAATATTTTATATAGTGTAATTCATTTTCTGATTTCTAAATAGGAAAAAATAAGGGTTGGTCGGCTTTTGATGTACTGGACCTGATTTTACAATTTCCAGTTTGTTTTGTTTGTCAAAAAAAAAATGCTTTGTTTTTATTTATTATGTGGAAAATATGAAAGAACTTATTTTTTGGATTGAAAGTAGTTAGATAGTCATGTTTTATGCCAATATGAAAAAGACAAATATCCAGTTGATTATGATAAAATGAGGCAGTAACATTTTCCGATAGTGTACAAGAAATTTTAATAACTACTAAAGTGTGCTGAGGGAATTAATGACAAACTAACCAGTACTGACTGGGGAACAACCAGCCTACCCTTATTATGGGATTACTCTTTGGTTACAGAGTAGTCACAGAGTAGCTAACCAGGAACAAATTGGTACAATATTTCGCTTGACTTAAAGGGACACAAAAACACTAGATAATAATCAAGTACTGATTATGTAATTATTAGGTCATCAAAACTACTTGATGTGATGCTTGCCACAATGAACCTGTCAGGATTTGGTTGAGGTTTGTGGACCCAAATGCAGAGGCAGAGAGGCAGAGGTGAGTTTCTTGATGATTTAATGATGAATAAACAAACAACTTAACACGGAGGCAGGAAATCCAAAAATTCAAAAATCAAAACATGAAAACAAAGTCAAACAAACCAGAAACCATGGAGACATCTGGGGGAAGACTATCACGAGGAGGAAGACTCAGAGAGATGGAGTAGGAGGAAGTTTGACGCGGAACCAGCACTGAGGAACTGAATGGGGGACTGAAACAAAGAGAGGACTAACAAGCAGATTGGGAGCAGATGTGAACAGAGCAGACAGGAAAAGAGCTAGAGAAAGAGGGGAACACAAGAG